GATGGTAGTGGGGGTAGTTCTAGTGTCTCATTAGCAATAACTGTCCATTCTCCATATCCATTATCAGTGTATGCACGTACACCAAAAATATAACAAGAACTATCATTAAGACCAGTAATGGTAATAAATGTATTATTACTGGATACATTATATTGAACAAATTTTTGAATATCAATGTCATCATCATCTACCATTGAACAGTTACCATACTCTAAGATATGATATCCTATCTCATATGTGATAATGGGATAGTCTGATGGAATATAACTAGGTACACTCCATGAGATAACAGCCCATGTAGTGTCCATGATACTGGATACTGAACCAACTGGACCAAGTACTAAATAAACACACATTCTCACAGAACTGATATAGTATAATAATTACATACCTATTCCAATCTCTACTTCAATAGGATCACTGAAGGGACCTCTTCCAACAGAATTGACAGCAGCTACACTGATGTTATACTCAGTACCAAATACTAGATCATTCAATATGATATATCTCTCAGTACTGGTGAGGTTGTATGTGATACTACTGTTACTGATAATCACTATATAGCCTGTGATTAGACCATTATGTTCAGAACAATTGACCTCATTCCAAGTGAGATTATTAATTGGTTGTAATAGAGACAAAAAATCAGCAACACCAATAGGAGCTATACACAAAAATCCAATAAATGTAAAATAATTAATTATCATACCTATTGATGATGTATTTTCATTAGTAGAAACAGAAACAGATCCTCCTAGTACATTACCAGCTCTCACTGTGATGGTATAGTTCATACCACTGTACAGACCTGTTAATGTATAGCTGTATGTTGTAGTGGACTGATGAGGACCAACAGAGACTGTCTCATTCACTGATGATAACTCCGGACAAGATGGAGTATAGGAGATGGTGTAGTATGTTACATAGTTGTCACTACTGGGAATAGTCCAGTTCACTCTAATACCAGTGGTTGAGACATTAGATACTGAGAGACTAGTTACTGGACTAGGAACTACAACAAATATCAATTACACTCTCTCAATCATAATAACTCACCATCAAATCTTAACACTGTTACTATACTATTAACTGAAGGAAGATCTATATATGAGTACACACTGATGGTATAGGTACTCATTGGTGAGAGATCTGTTAGTACAATTTCACCTTCACTGGTAGATACTACATTCCTGGTTACACCTCCAGTAGTATACTCAATCACATATCCATTAGTCTCTGATGAATTGGTCCAGTTCACTTTGATACTAGTAGCATTTAATATAAACCCTCTCACATTATTTGGAGGACCACTAGGAGCTAGAAAAGAGACAAAGGTATCTACTATTGATTAAAGTATAATCATACCATGTAATATCATAGATTGACTGTAGTTGACTCCTCCAATCATTGCTATACAGGTAACATTAACTGACACTCCCAGTGGATCAGGATATATCAGTAGTGTGTTGTTGTATGTAAGGACATCAATTGATGTATTCATTAAGTTACTCTTCACCACTCCATTCACTAACCAGTAAACATCAGTTGAAGGATCTATATCAGTAGTTGTGAGACAATCAATATGATATTGAGTGCTATTGAGTTGTGTAATGGATGAGACTAGTGTCCAATTGATTGAATTAATAACTAGAAATACATCATCAACAATGTTACAAGTACATTAAAAGGTGCAGTAGCAATACCTGGTAAGGTCTGTACACTGATTGTACTAGCAGGTCCCAGTAATTGTTGATAGGCTCTGACTGTGATGCTATAAGTTGTTTCTATATTCAGTCCATTCAGGGTGATTGTATTATTACTACTTCCCTGCACCTGTAATGTCTGCACAATGTCAGTGTCACTAGTGACATTGACTACATATCCATCAGCATCAGATGAATCAAGTGTAGTCCAACTGACAGTGATAGTGGTAGTTGTCTTGTTAACCTCAGTAAGAGAAGAGGGAGCAGTTGCTGGTACTAATATTATTGGTAACAAGAATTATTAGCATTCATTGACATTAATTACCTTTTGTAGTTACATTACGTATTCTAATTGCAGCAGCACCAGGATGATCTGCTACCCTGCACTGATACATTTGATCTCCAGTGGTTGATTGACTGATTGATCCACTACTGACAGTCATTCCATCCCATGTGAGAGTAACAGTATATCTTACTGTACTGCTACTACTAACTAACACAGTACCAGAACAAGTATTACCATTATCATTACAAAATGATCCAGGGTAATTAGTCAGCGTCGTACTACCAATGCTCATACTAATAACATACTCACGGAATCCAATTTTAGTACAATTCAGTTTGTATTCCTGAGGATATACTGTCATATCAGAAGGAAGATCAGCAACAGTAAATGATTCTATCTCTGCAAATCCTAAAAATGAAAATTATTACATCAGTAAGTGATTATAGTCTCCTCTTACTGAATATATTAGCAAAGATGATGTTAGTGTTAGGATCTGAACAATCAGTGGGTAGACAACACTTGTACCAGCCTTCTGTAGTTGCTGTTAGTCCCTGAGCAAGATAAAGATTGATAGTAGCATCAGGTGAAGTGACAATAGTACAACGAAAAGGATCACTGGCACTATTACTGTTACAGTCAACAGGATCATCAGGGTCAGCAACTCTAACCCACTGACCAGTAGTTAGACTAGTACCAGGTAACACACATGATATAGCTTCAGTAACTGCATTGACAGTGCTATCCCAAAAATATGATCCATTAGAATAACAGTCTCCATTATATCCTAAATAGATACCTATAAAATCAATATTAAATTTATAATATTCTATATTAAAATTAAAATACGTTCTTGCTGACAATGAGTGAAAGCACTGATTGTACTAGCAGGTCCCAGTAATTGTTGATAGGCTCTGACTGTGATGCTATAAGTTGTTAGTACACTCAGTCCATTCAGTGTAATTGTATTATTACTACTTCCCTCCACCTGTACTGTCTGCACAGTGTCTGTGTCATTAGTGACATTGACTACATATCCATCAGCATCAGATGAATCAAGTGCAGTCCAACTGACAGTGATAGTGGTAGCTGTCTTGTTGACCTCAGTAAGAGAAGAGGGAGCAGTTGCTGGTACTATTACAGGAATTATTAGCATTCATTGACATTAATTACCTTTTATAGTTACATTACGTATTCTAATTTCCCTACTGTCAGGATAATCTGCTACCTTGCACTGATACATTTGATCTCCAGTGATTGATTGACTGATTGATCCACTACTGACAGTCATTCCATCCCATGTGATATCAACAGTATATCTTACAGTGTGGGTGCTACTAATTAATACAGTACCAGGACAATTACTATTTCTATCATTACATCCAGTGTAACTAGCCAGTGCAGTACTACCAATGCTCATACTAATACCATACTCCAAGTATCCAATTTTAGTACAATTTAGTTTGTATTCCTGAGGATATACTGTCATATCAGAAGGAAGATCAGCAACAGTAAAGGATTCTATCTGTGTAAATCCTATAAATGAAAATTATTACATCAGTAAGTGATTATAGTCTCCTCTTACTGAATATATTAGCAAAGATGATGTTAGTGTTAGGATCTGAACAATTAGTGGGTAGACAACACTTGTACCAGCCATCACCAGGTAGTAGAAGAATATAGTCATCATTAGTGTAGATTATATGAACACTGAGACTAGCTCCTGAGGACCCAGTAGTACATTGAACATTTTGATTGTTACCACCATCACAAGGCACTACTCCATTAGGACCAATCCATTCTCCATCATCCAAAGTATCATTAAGTAATACACACTCTAGAGGAGTTGATATGATACTAACATCCCAAAAATATGATCCATTAGTATAACAAGTTCCATCACGCAAAAGGTAGATACCTATAAAACCTATACAGTTGTTATTATGCACATCCAGTGTCTTACCTGAGGAAGGTGGACACGATTGACTAATAACTTGAACTTCACTGACACTCAACAAGATAGCTGCTGTTACGAGTAACATTGCCATCTTTGTATAGATACTATAATTGTTTTAGCTTTGAAACACCTTTCAAAATAATGATTTTAAATAAACCAGGTAATGTAAAGATAAACAATACTCCATTTAAGCTATAGCAACCAAAGTCTTAGTTGTTTTAAACTTGATGAACCATTGACTAGTTGATAAACACAGGAGGTTTATTTAAGCTTACCAAGATAGCTCTCCCTCCTCTTGTAAATGTGTTTATCCAAGTCACTGTTCTTTCCTCTCTCCTACTTTTTCTTTCAGTCCTGTTTTTTGTGTAACAAATAAAAATCAGTTAAACTTGAAGCATGGCATCACATGCATGCTCTGCTTTTATGCACTATTTCTGTTAATGTATTCTGAAATGCTACAACAAACAAAAAACTATTATAATTATTTGCGAGTCTTCTAAATGAAATAATTAAAATTGAAAGTTCCCATAAGTCTCATTCATCTGAAGGTACGTGTCAATAACATCATATATGGAAGTATACTGCTCCTGTAAAGAGATAATATCATTAATACACTAGTACCCACTCATATATCTAGTATATACCAGTGTAGTCACAGCTCCTGGTTTACTCCTTCTCACAGCTTTAGTCACTTGAAACACATCCACTACACCTTCTGCCTTACACTGTTCTAGACCAATACTCACTGAACAATACACTCCTGAACGACTCACTGTATCACTACACACACACAATAATCAATTACTCATCATTAGTCTATCAGTATAACTCTCTCTCTTACCTACAGTGTACCACTACTGGTCCTCCTCCAATCTTTTGTTGTCTGTGTATAACATCATCAATAACTTGTAGGACAGTACGTGGTTCCCTAACAACTCCATCTGAGGCCAATCTGTCACTTGCAACTGCATC